TTTTTTTTTTTTTTTTTTAACGGGGCTCCTGGGGATTAGCAATACAAACAGCCGCAGTTGGACTGATTTGGCTTCTTAAAGGGGCCAGCGAAGAGGACCGAGAAAGTCGCCTGGCAAGCACCTCTCCTTGGAGAGGAGGCTGGGCCCCCGCTAAATCATCCTGTAGGGCTTCCCCTCTTCCGCGTTTTTCCTTTCGGTGTCACTAAGGCCGAAAGTCATCACCGGACAGCTCGAGCGAGAAAGGAAAAGACAAGCATGTAAAAGGAGCACCTGCTCGGCTGTCGTGCGCGCGCGTCCCGGGTTCGAGGTCCCAGGTCCACGGGCTCGGGGAGCGGGGATGCCCGGGATGGCTCGGCTAGGCTGGCGGCGGGTTTGCGGTTGCAGAGAGGCGACGGAAGCTGGGCGAACGGGGACGCACGGGCTGGTGCGCCTGAGCGGCGCTGGGGGTAGCTAATCCCGAAGGGAGGGTGGCTGGGAGGGACCACGCTGGTCCGGGTCTCTTCTCCATCTGCTGGAGGCAGAATTCCCCCTCTCAGCATCTTTCAAAGAGCGGACTCCTGCGGTTCTCCTGACCCCCTGTAAAGTGCCAGTAGTACCTCGACCAGAGAATGCTTTTCCGCTAGAACAGTACTTGGGAGGTTTCGCCCTAAGTAAGGCAAAGAGAAAGAAAAGAGATCTAATTTGGGCCTTCAGGTTTCTCCTCCGAGCCCCAGGGCAAGTTCTAGGGAGAGAAAGCAAAGCAGGAAGGGCGAGGATCGCCCTAAAAGTGCGCCCTTCCAGGGAGAAAAACTCCCCTGGGCCAGAGTTCAGGGAAAATCTCTGGGTTCAGAAATTATCACCCAAGGCCCATTTGTACACGATGCTAATCATCAGAGGTGTAAAGAATCTTGGGTCAGGGTCAAAGACACAGTATTCCCATTTTAAAGATAGCTCTGCTCTGGCCTGGGTGGGCTCACGCTGGAAAATGGTGGTTGAAGCCAGGAGTAAACTCCAGGACGCTTCATTTTCCCTCTTCAGAGCCAAATCTTTATTGACATTTCACAAACACAGCAAGAATTTACTGTTGTTTTTAGGCTCCTGTCATGTTCTTGTCTCAGGGTGCCAAAGCTTGGGCCCTAATGGGTATAATTAAGATTTCTTTGTGTGTGTATATCAAAGGAAGCCTGAACGGCAGCCTTGGGTCCAAGATAGACCTTTAGTATGTAAAAAGTTATTTGCCTGATCAGACCCTTGCTTTCAATTAAAAAGAAAAAAGAAAATTCCTAAAATTTTTGGATAAGCCTAAATTAAATGAAAATTCCTAGAATTTCTGGATAAGCCTAAATTAAATGAGAAATATATAACCTATCACTCTACAGTTATTTCTATCAGAAATGACAATAAACATTGATTAAGAGTTTAGGGCTGGGGATTTAGCTAGGCAGTTTGGTGGCCTGCCTTGTAAGCGCAAGGACCCGAGTTCAATCCCCAGTACCAAAAAAAAAAAAAGAGTTTATGTACTTAGAATCAGTCAATGTTATAGTTAAATGGTGAGGCTTTGAGGCTGGGCGTGGTGGCCCACGTCTATAATCCCAGCACTCCGGAGGCTGAGGCAGGAGGATCGCTGTGAGTTCAAGACCAGCCTGGGCTATATAGTGAGTTTCAGGGCAGTCTCAAGTACATAGTGAGACCCTGTCTCAAAAAACCAAAAAAAAAAAAAAAATAATGGTAGAGTTCCTGCCCGTAATTGCTTCATAACTAGTAGTAAAAGATCACAGTGTGGCCTTAGTAAAGTGAATCTTAGGACTTATTATTTTTTGTTGTTATTTTCTCACTGTGTGAAAACAAGACCACTATAACAGGTTTTTTAATGTCTAATTCATGTCATTCATCTGTTCAATATAATTTTGTTAACACTTCACTGTCAGCTTACTGATTTGTTCAATTATCATCTAATTCTCAACATTAATTCTTAGTGCATCTCACAAGATGATTTTTTTAAAAAGGCCTGACAGGTTGAGCCACGTTAATAATAAACATTGTATCACTTATCCAAGCCGAATAGTGAAACATATTTACATGCTAACATTGCATAACAAAAATGTGTGCACATCCAGCCATATATTAAATAAATCATCAGATTGTAAAAGACAGTGTTGACATAGCCATGGCTGATATGCTAATGATTTGATCATGGACGTTCACCGTCCCTTTCAATAACAGTAACTCATGCTCAAAAGTGTTGTTGCTTCCATAATTACTGGTTTTCAGCATAGGTAGGATAGGCTGGGTTTTTGTGGAGTTTTTTTGTTTGTTTGTTTGGTTTTTTTTTTTTTTTTTTTTTTTTTTTTTT